ACGCAGTTACGGCTTTGTTGTAGGTACATACTGGTTTTAATTTGCAAATTATGTTTCCATTGCAGTTTTAATTTGCAGTGGTGTTCTCCTGGTTGTAAAAAGTGACTGTTCCAAATTGATTGTTTAAATATTCGAACAAAATCTTTCTCATTTTTCTTTAATTTTATTTTTATCAACCCTTTCAATTTTATTGTTTCCATTGCTATTTCAATTTGCAATTTGCTCTAAAGTGGCATCGGACGTGGAAGTAAATGAATTATCGCAAGGAATTTCTAAATTCGCTTTAGATATTTATCACGTAACATTGGATTCAGTGGATGACTTATTCAAATTATTGCATTCGCTTACGAACAAATTTGTTTAAAATAATGATCAATAAAAGCAATGCGCGCAATTGGAACCTGGAAACCTGGTTGTTTCGCCATTCTCCACGGCATACGCAATCGCGCTATTTTTCCAAGCAACAGAAGGGACATCTTTGGACGAGATACGAAATGATCTAAACATAAATTGAAACACAACATTTCCATATCAATATATTTTACAGAGATTGCATATTTGCTGCTGGGTAGGCCTGAGCTGAACTGGGTTTGCTAACTCAGGCGCCTGAAGCGGTATTTTAGCGCACTTACGGTGCAAAATTGTTGTGAATCGCTGGAATTCACGCTGTTTATCAACTATATTTGCGTGGATACCAGCGATCCACAACAATTTTGCACCGCAAGTGCGCTAAAATACCGCTTCAGGTGCCTGAGTTAGCAAATTCAGCTCAGCTCAGGCCTACTCAGCAGCAAATATGCAATCTCTGATATTTTATTCAGTTATTCTTGGGTTTTGAGGTATGTATAAATGTTAACCCATTTTCCATGCAAATGAGAATGTTTATTATTATTATTCAAAAAATTCTGTGTAATTTCATCGATTTTTATCTTCAAAAAAAACTATTCCAGTCATAAAATCGAAAATTATTCAATATTGTAGAATTGCTTATCCGAATAAATTCTTGGATTGGCAGCGATTGAGAGAATGGAGTTTAAATTCAAAATTTGGTAATACTTGAGATAATTATGTACAAATCGTGCCGTTTGTTCGTTCAGCCAGAGACTCTCTCTCGTCCAGAGCATTTTGAATTTACAACTGCTTTTGCATATGTTTACAATTCATCTCGCAGAATTTGTGTGGTTTCAACTTTGGGTTTGATGCGGACAGTGTTGGACTGATGTGTGTGTGTATGTGTGTGTGTGAGTGATTAAAATAAGTAATTGTAATCCAGTCTATAACTTGCAGCAAAACCACGATGTTCCATGTGACTTGAGACATAATTGATGACCATACGATTTCCTGTAGATACAATCTTCTTTGGAGTATTAGTAGAAAACCTACCACAGAAACGACCTAATAATGGCGCATTGTGCAAATAACCGTCTCGAACTTCTAAATAATCACTTTTGCAATCACTCGATTCGAAAATGTCTAAATCATTAATTTTAAGTTGAATACGTTCTCTATCCATGACTATGATTCGCCATTCACATCGATATGTGCGATTTGTTGATCTGTTGTGGTATTCAGGTGATGTGTATGCAGTTTCTTCAAATGCAGCCTCTTCCAAATATGTTCGGCCACAATCGGGGCATTTGTACAACTTGTTCGTTTTTTTAATGTCAATTGCACTCAATGTTTTTTTTGTTTTGCGCTCAGGAATTTTCGGTACAATGCCATCTTTATCTTTTTTCGCCGAAATGACTGATATGTCAGCTAACGACCAATTTCTACCATGAAATCGAGCATACCCCATATTTTGAATGAGAAAATTCAAATCGCCTAATATCGAAAATGCAGTTTGAGTATAATGCATAATTGATTCAAAATCGTATGGTTCATTAAGCGTATCAGCCTCATCGGGTGACAATTTCGCATAGTTGTAGGCACTGCTCTCATCTTCCATGCGTTCCCATTTGATTTCAACAAACTCATCACGATCGGGTCGTTGGTGTTCATGATGAAATCCAATCACATGTCCCAATTCATGAACAATTCCAATCTTGTCGCATCCACCAATTACTACATCTTGAGCACCACCTTTTTTACCAACAAACGAACAACAGCTACATGTATCCTCATAATCGGTAAATCGTATAAAATTCTCATGCTCATTTTCATTTCGTTCAACAAATTTAATGCAGGTGGAATTTTCCCACTGTATCATTGCCGCTTTGACGTTGCTTATTTGATTTTCATCGAAGTTAGCTTTCGGATCGATTTCGTATGGGACAATGCCAAAATCCCAGATCTTCTTTCTATCTGTTACAGCATTTCGCTTTGAACGCTGACTATCGGTTTGTGGCTTCTGAACACTTCCATTTATTAATATATCGCCTTTAATTAAAACAAACGATTTACAAACTTGCACCAACGCAGCTCCAAACAACACAATTATAACACATTTTGCCCAAAAAATATTATATGCTTGTGTCATTTTATTAAATCAATACAATTTTTTTTTTGGTGTATCTTGCTCGGATGCTGAGATTAAACTAATCAATTCTCCATGAAAAATTCCTTTATTTATAGTTGCAATGACGAAAATGAAATGCAATCATTTTACATAAATTCTTAGGATACAATAATATTTGTTTACCTGCATGAACGATTTTTTAAGCTCTTGGAAATATTACTTGTTCCTGAATTTTTAAATCTTTTTTTTTTTGAAACTTATGTTCAACGCCTCATTCTCAGTAATCTGTGCATATGTACATGCGATCATAGAAATCCTTCTAATTAGTCTATGAGTTTACAAGTGTTGCTAATTTAAATATGAAAAATAAATTGAAGAAAATTCATAATTTTTTCCACCGAAAATGCATCATTTTGAACAAGAAACCATTTTTGTCAGTTTTCATTTACCACACACTAGTTCTAAATGGATCAAAAATGGCTTATGGGGTAGAAATGTTAGAAGATTGAGGCATTTTTGGGAGGTACATAATTACGAATCATAATACGGTATGATTATCCGTTTAACTCAATTCCTCCCAGAATTATTTTTTTTCGCCGATTTTGAAAATATTTCCAGAATATTTAAATGGTAAAAATAAGATCTGCATACTCAGATTTAATAAATCTACACAGTCAAAAATAAATGTCCACATTTCGGCGGAATTTCGACTGGTAGAGGCGCCCACTCCTATATTTTGCCTAGAAAACGGAGTTTCAGACGAAATACCGACTAGATTATAAGCGGAATTTCGCCTGTAGCTCAAGGTACTAGCAGAAATATCGGCTGAATGAGTCTTTAGCTGGAAAAACGCCAAGATGTAGACTTTTATTTTTTGCTGTGTACGGTATACAAACCACGACAAGAATTACCACAATGTAAGCGAAAAATTTTTTACCGTTAAAGTTCACAAATAGTCAACAAAATTATGTAAATAATATTATTATGAAAATAATTTATCGACAATGCCATTGTCTGTGTTTGTGTATGTATTCGGGCGCTAACAATCAGCTCCAAACGAAGTTGGGTGGTGTCTCTAGCCAAACACACTACGATTTGTATCGTATTCGTCAATTTAACATTTTCACTATTTGTCGATCTTTTTTTCGACTTTTGATTGTCATTATTCAATTATTTTATTCTAAATACTTTGAAAATGAAATTAGTTTTTGTAATCAGTGTCTGCAGTCTGTGGTTTGTGTCAGAAATCATATCCGATGAATTAACTAAGTGTGAAGGTAACAAAAAAAATTTCATCATCATTTCTGTCCGGGTGATCGTGATAAAAAACAAATTACGCTTAAGAAAACCGGGGTAAGTAATGGATTTACATTTGAAATTCAGATTAAATTCAATTCTCTTCACAAAATGATTATTTGACTTCTTTTTTTTTCATAGGGTACTGTTAAAAAATCGAAAGATCCCTGTTTTGAGGAAACACACCCTGACACTCGAGAAGAAATAGTTTCAAAACGAGCGAGAAAAAAGTAGATATATGCAAATCTTTATGTCGCACACATTCAACTACTGATGATAATACCGAAGAGGCACTTGACGAACTTTTAACCGGTCACGTCACGAACGAATCAATTTTCGATTGCTACAAAGAGTGTCAGACTGGAACAAGTATATTCCCATTTACATTTGGTTTTACACGCTAAAATCAGACAATGTAAAACGCCAATTTTTTTTTATTATTTTTCTTATTTTCGTTATTAACGTTTTTTTTTGCTAATTTTCGTTCCAAATAAAATAAAAAGGAATATGAAAAAAAATATATCAATATTATGCTAAGTTTATTGTTGAAACATTTA